CGGCGCTTAAGTGCCCGAAAGATGCCCCAAGTAGAAGCATTAATGAACTGCCCCGTCCGTCCACATGGCATGTGAAATTTTTCGCTTAAAATTTATATATAATATATCTCTTACCATAAATGTGGGCGTAACTAAAACTTGTGGTAGATCAGAGATCTTAATAATGACTTAATAATTGAGGGAGCCGCGACATAAATGCGGAAGTTATTGTTGTTTGCTTGGGAATGATTAAAAGTATTGCGTTAGATTTTTGAGCAGCGCGAGGAAAGACTTCGACTAAACATCTATAATTTATCTTTATCTAAAGTCGCTATTAGATTGTTCTTTTTTATCTTGAAGCTTGAAAAGTTTCAGAAAGTTGGGGTAATTTAATATGACTTAATTCAGACTTTTAACTTTGATATAGCTTAATTGTTCGGCTGCTCTTCCCGAATCATTCCTATGGGTTGTCGCACAACGGACTGGACATTGTCCTTAACCTTTTGTGCAGCTGTTCAGTTGCCTTATTTGGCTTGCACAATTTTCCAATAAGACTTTGTAGTTGCCAAGTTGCAAAGAAAAACGTGTCAGACCAGATTGCTGCCGTCTGTCTATGCCTCTGTCTCTCTGTCTATTGACATAAGTTGGCTGTGGCAACAGCAACAGCAACAGCAACGGCAACGGCCTGCGATTACAACAATGCAACAACAAACGGCAATAAACCATTACAAAGTTTTTGGTAAACAAGAAAAAATAAGCATTTTTTCAGCCACATCATCATCTTCCTTTTGTCCGCGAACAGGAACTGGTCACAGTTTAAAGACCAAATCGCAGTCAGCCGCGGCTGGCGCTCTCTGAAGTTTCTTTTATGCGATTTTGCTTTTTGTTTTTGGTATTTCTTAATTTTAAGCCTTATATCGTATATGTGTATATATATATATATATATATATATATATATATATATATATAGATAAATATTCATATGTATATATAAATGTAACTGTATATTGCCTCACGTAGCGTTTGCAGTTGCTTTTTTGTGTCGTGTAAACAGAAATTGCCACCGACTAACGGACAACCAACAACGGACAACAACCAACATACAGCCAACAACCAACAACTGTTCAGACTTAACAACAATCCGGGCAACATCTGTCGCCCATCATCTAACCAATGTCCAATACTCCCCGTGTCCAATTGGTTCGTGTCGTTTCTGGGCTTTACTCTCTGGCTTATTGTCGCCCCTCTGCCACATAGTTTGCATAGCATTGGGTTTTTGTCTTCAATTTTGTCTTTATTTAAATTTGGTTAATGCTTTTATGTTGACTTTTCAATGTCCAATATTTTGCTTTCACTTTCGTTACTAGGGCGATGCATGAATTCAGTATTAAAAGCTGGGAGAAGTAGCCTTTATTTATGAGAACTGCTAAAGCTGCTAAGAAAACCAACCTTAAGACAAGCAAAACTTCAGATCCTTAAGACTTTAGTCAAAACAAAATAAAGAATTTTTGTTTATGGCAATCTAGAATTTCATAAAAGGTCAAGCATTTTATAATCCCTGACATATGTAGCTATACGTCTTAGTAAATAATGCACGGATTATAAAATGCGCTGAACAGTTGCATAATAAACAAAAAAAATTCCTAATAATTAAAATTTGTATTTCAAGTTATTTTGTACAGTCATTCCAAAATAAATAATATTTTCTGAAATAATATTCCACAATATTATTTCGCAACTACAAGCAAAATATCTGGGTCTATGTCAGCATATGCGATTAGCATCTTAATAGGCTTACAGGCTTCACTCTTTAATTGGCAACTAGTAATATTAATAATAATAATAAGCTGTTATTTTTGTACGGTCAAATGCTGTAGACAGCGCAACTGCTTAAAGATACTTTATGTATCTTTGTATCTGTCAGTTACGCGCAAGTCTGGCCCTTCAACCTGTTTATTGTTGCCGCTGCCGCTCGCAATTTATTGTACGAATTTCAAGTTGTAATTTCTTTTCATTTTGTATAGCCCAACGTTTTTTTTTTTTTGTATATATTTTTTGCGCATATTGTTGTAGGGTAGGGGCCCGTCGTTCTAGCAGGTTTTGTTTGTTTCGTTTTGTTGTTATGGAAAGTGGGTCAATCGAGAGATCTTTTATAAATATATTTTGGTTGCATATTTATCTGAAAGATACATTTTTTGTGTGACAAACTGTTAATGGATTTGTGTTAAAAAATGAAAGTTGTTTGGCTGGCAACAAGAATTACAGAGTATTTCCAGCTGTAACAGGATGACACTTGCCCACACGTTAATTGAGCTTTGGGCCTAATCATATATAGGCCATTTATATGCTCTATTGTGTCTGTCGGACTTGCCACTTAAAGCTCGTTAACTGGCGCTACACTAAATCAAATGGAATCAATATCGAATTGTCTTGCATTGTATCAAAATGAAGACCACAAATAAATAAAGTAATTGAGCGCTAATCACACGCAGAGCCAATTAGCCGGCCCTGCCCCTTACCCTAACCACCCGACACTCCGTTGTTAGTTGTGCCTCGATTTGATTTTATTTTAAACTCGAATCGTTTTTAGTTTCGAGGGGCCCAACATGATTGAGTTGCTGCTGCTGGTGCTGTAGCGCTGCTAGTTGAGAATTAAATCGAATTTCAATTTCATTTGAAATGCTCGGTGCACGTGGAAAAGTGAACAAAATTGTGACTCTGATGAAGCGCTTGATTGGACAGCGCCAAGTTAATGGAAATAAAGCCAAAGTGTTGAACGCCACGTTGGGCAGGAAGTGCTGCTTAGTCAAACAAATTGAAAATGTAATTGAGCATGCGATTTGCTATGATATAAGCCATATTATGAAATCAGAGAGCAATTTGTGAACGAAAAAGGAGCGTATATAGTATAAGTAGCAAAAATTCAATAATAAAGTTTATAGTATAGTATTGACAGAAGTTGGCATCAGATTTTAGCTAAGCATTGATTGCTCTATTCTCAGCGTAGCTAATTAAATACTTTGTATTATTATTATTTCTTAAAATAAACTATGTTCTCAAGGCATTGTTTTAGGAACTAACATGTGTGCAAATTTAAACGGCTGAAACTATCAATATGTCGTTCATATCATCAACAAAGAAAAAACCAACAGATTAAGAAACACTTATATTCTGTAGGCCTTTCTATTCGATTTTCAAAAACTGAACTAAACTCTACAAAGGGTAATGAGCTCAGGAATATTTGCAAGCATAAAAGTTATGTTACAAAATAATAAACTTTCCAAATTAAACTTTGGCATTTTTGGAACTAAGCTCCTTAAGTGATCTGTAAACCCGACTGGGAAAATCGCGGCTTGGTATCATAAAAATGATATTAAGGTTAAACATTATCAAAATATGTTTACGTAATAGACGCCCGAACAAAAGTGTTGAGTAAAAAAGCAAATTCCAATTATGAGCATTAGTTCATCCGCAAATCAAAGCCAGCAACAATAAAGAGCGAAAATGACAACCAAATTGGAAATATCATAAATCGTTGCGGCTGTTGCCAAGTTTGGTTGCGGCCATGAAAGTGAAAACAAACTATAACAGCGGATGCCGCAAATGCCACATTGACCAACAATCAAAACATAACAATAGCTGCAACAACAACAACAAGCGATAATCATGGATGTGGCCTAAACATATATAAATAGATACATGTACATATATATGCTTGTATTAAACGGCTAATGTCTATCAATTATGCTAAGCCCAGCTAATTGTTAATGAGCCTTAATAGATCCATCGTATAAAGTTAGCCGCACATTTCAGTTAAAGGCCAGCTGGTACTGACCTAACTACAAATTTGTATTTAAGAACTGAGAACTCTTAGCTGACTTGCAGTTTTGTTGGCTCGTGCGTTCAAAATTTCCTCGGTATTTTGTTTTATTTAAAGTCCTGACCATTTCAAGCGAACAGGTTTTATTATCTGTTGCTTTAAACGTTGTCATGATTTTGTGGCTTTTACTCTTTGCTTCCTTTGCATCTTCATTAAACGCAGCTCCAAAAACAAAAACCAATATATGTATTTTTATATACATGCATATAAAAAAAGGGAAAGTTCATTGAGGCATCTCAGTTGCATATTTGTACAATTAATATGAAAATGCCTATGAAAATGTTTTGAATAATTGAATAATTTAGGCGGGCGACCAGTCGGGCCAAAACTGTATCTTATGCAAGTCTAAAGTGCTTCGGAATTTGTGGAATTTTCTTACTAAAATTACATAATGTGTTATTGATATAAATATATATAAATATTTTGGTATATTTCCGTGCTTTTTTAAATAAACAGCAACTTTCTTTGACTCACACGTCTCTTAAAAACTGTGTCAATTTGCCTTTTGGCCTAACCCGCAAATAAAATTCACAACTAGAATGAACAATAAATATTTGCATAACATTCAATGGAAATGCAAATTGTGTGATCAATTTTTTTTTCTTTCTTTCTCATAGACGCTTTGGCAAATATTTGGGTTATGCGTTGTGGTTTAGAGTTTTGTAGACGAACATTGTCTATGGTTAACTGGAACACCCTACTGTATTTGTATATTGGTTGCTCTCATTTTGGTAAAAGGTTAAGAGACAATTGTTGAAGGGAATAATAATGAAATTTTTGTTTTCGTTTAGTATATATAATAACTGACCTTATTTGAATATGAATCGGTCTTAGCTTGTTGAATGGAATATAATTTGACATTTATTACATATAAATATAAAAGAGTTGATCAAACGGAGCTGTTAACCTGATTAAAAACAAAACTATACAAACATCAAAAATACTCACTATATTTTCTATTATTTAAGTTTTATGCTTACGTTAAGTCCTGTATCAAATATATTTTGGAACTCCAAATTTTAAAGACATTTACGAATATAAGAAGGATTCTTTTTTAATTTTTTTGCAACATTCTTAAGATTTTGTTTTGTATTTAATAACAGAAATCACATAATTGAAAATGTTTATTTTTTTACTTACGCCATTATGTATGCCAGCATTGGGTGGAATAAATCCCTGTGCATTCGCCGCGGCCATCCACAGGCACAAAGTGCCTAAAAGTGCCAATGAATTTCGCATGATTCACGCAAATTTGATAGATTTATCGTATATATAGTATATTTTTAGGTTTTTCCAATTTGCAGTTAGGTTCAAAACTTGGTTACTTCTTTTCGATTTATTATTGCTGCACTTTTTATTTTCAAAAACGAAACACGATAACGTTGGTTTCGAAGATTTTTAAAAAATTTTTCGACTGTTAAAATTGCGAGAAAAACACAAAACTGAAATCAACTTTTGCTTTGGCGGGTTTTTGAATTAAACGTTTTCTATTTGCCTTATGCAAATGTAGTTAGTTTTTTTTTTGTTGTTTAACTTTTTTACTCTTTGTTTTATTTAGTATGCCGCAAGCGTTGGCTGTGGCTGCCGCGGAATCGAGTGGAAGCCGCAGACACGACTTGTCTGGTAAAAGTTCGATGCTTAACTGAAGATCATTAAGCGTTTGGTAACAATTTAAGCCAAGCCAAGCGACGAAGATGCCAAAAAAAAAAAAAATGCGAAGCTAGCTACGCGACGTGATGCGACGACGATGAGCGCAGCAACATGTTGCTGGCAACATGAGCAGCAGCAACATTTGTTGAGAGCGTTCGTTTGAAAAGAGAAAGCATTAAAGAGCGCTTCGGCTGTTGAAAGAGAAAGTGTTGCTTGGCTTCAACTGTGCAACATGAGGAAATGTAATGCTCCAAGTCAAGCGTTTTCCACCAAATGCAATTCGCTCTCCGTGTCTCAGTCTTTATCAAACCAGAAATAGATGGGGCTAGACAAATATGATGCCATCTGCAGCGATTTCGATTTCATACTCAGAAATCACGTAATTTCCTCAACTTGGCGTACTCGGAAATGCAGATAAGAACGCAAATTGAAGGCGTACGAATCGCATTGGGTCTAAAACGATAAATATCTTTTAATAGCTGCTCAAAAATAAATGCAGACATCAACATTACCATTTACAGACCTGTGTCACATAGCCTCTGCAACGATTATGCCAGCAACAACAACAATAACATTCCGTACTCAACTCATTAAACTGCATTCCATGCACACCGCGATGTGTCTTTCATGATTTTCTTTTTTTAACAATTTGTCTGGCTCATTTAAAGTGATTCATTTTTTATCTCTCTTACTACCTTAATTATCAAAGTAGATGATTAATGTGTGCTACCCGTTGTCTGTCCGCTTCGCATTGGGAAGTAGCTGCGATCCCGCAGTGTTCGATTGTATGTGGCGCTCTACTAATCAGCATATTACGCACTTACATCACACCCCAAAATCGATGAATAATAGCTACAGGTTGATTTGGTCTAGTTTTTCATAAAGAGAAGGCACAGCATGACTTGATCAAGTGATCGGAAATAATTGATGTTTCGTATTGATGAGGCTTGGCGAGAGATTAAAGCGGTTGATTTATTTATAATGTCAGTTTATATGTATCAAGGTTACGGAAGTAAAAATATCTTGAGAGAAAGTCAAGTCCACAGGATTGCAAGAAACGCGCCCAAAAAATCCCAACAAAAATATAAATACTTAAAAATCGATGGATCCTCGAAACTTTTGTATATTCCTAATAATGATATGCAGCCGAATCCCGATAATTCGAAATAGCAAGGGGATCACATTTTTTACGATTTAAACAGCAGTTCCATTTATCGAAATTTCCATTTAACGAGGCTCAAAAAAGAAAAATTCAAATAAACGGGGCTTTATATTTTACATAATGTTTACATATTTAACTCTTTTGGAATTTAACAAACAATATAAGTACATTCATTTGTACGTTTTGAAAATAAAAGAAAAATTTATTTTAAATTAAACTAAAACAAGTAAGAGATTCTAGTCGGGAGCTCCCGACTAGGGGATACCCTGAACCCTCTTCTTCCAACCTCAAATGAATATATATATTCTATTTTAGAAGCTATATGTCAAGTTTGGTGACTCTAGCTCTTATTACTTACCAAACAGGATATCGATATCGATTTTTATCGATTGCTTGGAAACGGAATAAGTTTCATTCAAGTCTCTAGCTCTTATAGGTTCTGAGAACCTTGCGTTCATATATACGGACAGACAGACAGATGGACATGGCTAGTTCGACTCGGCTATTGATGCTGATCAAGAATATATATACTTTATGGGGTCGGAGATGCTTCCTTCTGCCTGTTACATACATTTGGATTTTGCACAAACACAATATACCCTTATACCCATTTTTAATGGGTTCAGGGTATAAAAAGTCTGTAATTTTCGATTGCTGTGTGTTTGTTCGCTTAGTTTTTCTGTCTCGTTCTCTAAACTTATTAGGTTGTCAACGACACTATCATGAACATTGTGTGTTAAAACAGAGTTATAATTGAGGAATTAGCGATCTAGCTTGTATGTTAAAATTGCATCTCTAAATTCGACAGACAATTTCGCATTGCATTACGAATTATAAGAGGTTACGAAACCAAATTCAATTTAGAAGAGGTTCAATATACTATGCTTTGCGAAAAATACTACGAATCGAATTAACGAGGGGACCAAAATGTATGGAATTTTTGCAAAATAACGAATGTTTTTTTAAGAGGACAGCGTTTTTACGAACTATTGAGGTTTTCGATTAAGCGAGGGAGGAATTATCGGGATTCGGCTGTATTACCTATTTTTGCTAGTATCAAGCTTGTATATTATTTATTGCCTGCTCTGGGAAGAACTTTTGAAGATATCTTAATAGTATCAAGGAGGTTTATCCCAGAAAGCGCTCGCTCTTTCGACAAGATTTTCCGTTCCTTACAGCGGTTGCTTTTCCAGTTGAATAGATATTTTTACAAATATTTTACAGTTGATCGTCGATCTAAAGTTAATTGCACAATTGATTTCCTCTTGTGCAACTCTGAACAGGCCAGTTAGCTGCCAATCTAGGGCCCTTATCAAAACGCAAACAAATTATGGCATTTTCAGCTTTCCAGCAATTATAGCAGCAATTTGCTGCTGGGACCCACAAAAATTCGGCAACGCGATTAATCTCCAAAGCAGACACAAACACTTCAACGCCAGCTTTCATTGATGAACATTTTCACTTTCAAACCAAACACAGGCATAAAATACTCAAGCAAATGGCCTATTAAGTCGATGCCCAATGCAATTCTAGAGAAGGTTCAAGCTGCAGACCACCAACTCCCCGACTCGAACCTCCAAATCCACCTCGCGCGCCGCATTACATAAGCGGTCCGTCCAAGCAGCTTATCAGGTTTCCTCCGGCGCTGACAGACCCAGACCCTATAGACAGACAATGATAATGGCTTTCTGCTGATTTGACTGATTCGGTGGCTGTCGATGATGCCGCACGTTGTTCCGAGTCCAATGACTTGAGACGTTGCTTCTTTTGTATCCGTTCGATGCTTAAATTGTATTTGATAGCTTTCTTTGTTCAGCGATCGCTTGGCGAGAAAAGCGTCGATGACTCTAAAATCTATGTGGAAAATACAAACAAAAAAAACGCATTTTCACCTGCTTGTTTGAGCATTGATTAAATTAGTGGACATTGACAGGCTTTGGAAATTAAAAAAAACTCGATTTAAACTAAGAAGTTTTTCAACATTTGTTTCAAGTGCTTCTTATGGAGCTTGAATATATGTTGTGATTGTTTGTTTATATTGTTAGCTATTCATTGCTTAATGACACAAAAGAAACGAAGAGAAGTAAAACAATATATTTCATTTACAAGCAACATTGGCAACCGCTGTAGCGATCAGTTTTGTTTTTCGGTATTTTCATAATCATCTTGGTTAATTAACTACTAACGTCTTCCTCTTAAGAGCTAAGAATGTTGCACCGCCCACTCCCGTCGTGAAAAATCTCAAGAATTAACATTATCTCTGCACACTTAATTGAAAAGCGGCTCAAGCAAGAAAACGCTCATTTAATTTAAGCTGTTATTACAGTGTGTGTAATACATTCGACTTCCTCGTGTTTTATTTGGTGCAAAATAACATTCGCTTCAAATCATATCTTCTATCCCGAAAAATGCGATTAAATTAAAAGTAAGGCATCGCCTTGTTTTATATATAAATAAAATAACATTGCCAGCGCTTTAAATGTTCACAATTTAAAATCAATCCCAGTTGAAACGATTCGCTTTGATATTATATTCATTGAACCTCAAAACCACCTTCTGCACAATTTATGTAAGCCTGGGCTTGAGCTCGTTATGTATATATTTTTTGTCATATATATCTATGCCTGCTTTCCATCAAGTCCAAAATTGCCATATTGACCTCTCTGAGACGTGACAGTTGAGCATAGCATGGTTGCCATAAAATATAATACACCTTTTTTGGCGAACTCCACCTTTAAATGCGTCATAAGCTGTGCCCTAGCTGCAGATAAAAACGAGATGATATAATACTATATGTTTTCGTACTTGAGATAAACCTATCCAAGCTGAGTTTCTTCTCAAGTGTGGGAAAATGTTGAAGGCGGCCAATTTAGAATAACTTAATTTTTGGCATAGGCCAACAACAGCCAGAGGTCTTAAAAATGATCGAGCTGGCGTATGCCTAATAGCAGGGCAATATTTGTGCAAGAGATTACCAAAAGGCAAAGTCGCAGATCCAAAGCCAAAGCCAAAGCCAAGTTACAAAAAACAACAGAAATCAAAACATCGACAAATCCCCACAAAAACAAGACTAAACGCGGTGTGTACAAATGCAACAACAAAATGCTGGAGGGAGAAAGACTTTCACCTTTGCGACGAATGATCAACACGAAACCAAAAAAAAAAAAAGAAGAAGATGAAAGAAGAGTCGCTGCCAGCAGAAAGAAGCGACGGCCTTCGAGTTGCCATGGACCCGAACCGAAGCACAACCTACCTGGCCCCGGCAACAACAAGTGCTGCCAGACCACGATCATGATCATCATGAAGATCATCGTCGAAGAAGAAGATGATGCTGTGGCTAAAACTTTGCGTCAATAAACCTTTGACTCAATGAGACTTACGCGCCGCGCTTATCACTCGAAGCGCTCAATGGGAATTATTGTTATTATTACTTTTTGTTTTATTTGGTTTGGATCAACGATCGCTGCCGCAACTTTTACTTTCCATTCAAGAATGAAGATTTTCCACACATATTTACTTGGCGTTTGGGAATTAAGTCATATACGCATTTATTTGAGTGGGTTCATACTTAGAATTCTCACTTTCTCGTCTTTTTCTCTGCTGATCAAACAGAGACCCCCACGCAACACTCTTCAAGTGCTGCACATCAAAAGTGAAAAGCTTATCTGAATTTTTGGGCCTGTCAAACATTTACAAGAAATACTTTGAACAATTGTTAGTACACTCGGTACAGTTGTGCCCAGCTTCAATTTCTTTTCGTTAATCTCCTTAATTGCCAAATTACATGCCAACAATAAAATCAGCATTTTAATTAAATTATCTTTTACAGAAACATCACACGTGCGGCTATTACCCAAATCCCCATTTAAATGCCCAAACCTTAAACACATTCATAATTCGGATATTGCATAATTTATGCAACTAGAAAAAAAGAGTTCGTAGCGAAATCTAAATTAATAAATTGATGCCCCGAGGGCTTTACAAATGGTGTCAAACATCAATAGAGGCACAACAACTGGAAGAGGTAGCTACATCTTGATTATATATAGTAAAACACATTTGATTAACATGTATTTATAGTGGAAACTGGTGCACGACTTAACTGATGGGGTACTATATAAATTGGACGGGGTATATTTATAAAGAGCATGGATCATAAGCAAACTGTAATCGACTGGCTAGGTAAGTTTTCTTTTAAATTGTATGATATACATATTTAAATAATATATGATGTATTGCAAGTTAATTTGAGGATATTAACTAACTCCCTTCAATTGGTAGCTCAATAAGGTAATTTTCGTTTTCAAAACTAAATGGAATAAATTTCCTAAAATATTTCCTAGGTCAATCCGAATTGAGTTCATGCCTAAAAGTATGCAATGTTTTTAAAATGTACAACTGATTGCCTTAACCCTTAGCAGGTTAGATGTGCCTTTTTAATGACAATAACATTTCTTAACTCATAATCTCAGAAATCTAAACGATTTTTTTTTAAATATTTGCAAAATGGAATCTAATTCTACAACTCTGTACGCCCCATCCATAAAGCATTTATATCTTAAAATCCAATGTTCCTTCATTCCCAGAAAATTTTCATTAATTGAAATAATTCAATATTTATCACGTCCAATGTGTCCTGAAAAGTAAATGACATAAAAAGACGATTGGCAACATTTTGAGTACATAATTTTTAATTTATTTTTCAATTATTGTAATTGTATTGATTACATGTTCATTTATTTCTGGTTTCTAGACCATTAAATATGATTCATTAATTTAAAATTGATATATTTTTATAATTAAAGGTAGTTGTTTTTTGTTTTTAATTTATTACTAAACTTTAAATTCGAAACTCACTTTGTAAATAAAGTTTTGCGTTTTTTTTGTTGTTTTTCTTAACTTTGTTTTTAATTGAATAAAAAGGCATAGTACATTAAAGAAAAAATTATATAGTTGTAATTAGGAGCGGCAGATAAATGTAAATAACATAAATAATACATAAAATAGGCAAAAATTATTATGCTAATTCTTGATATATATAAACGTACGACATTATCAAAGTCATGAGCAAAAGTTGCATTTTGTTTACAGTGATATCTAAAAGTACGTTACAAACTTTGTTCACGTGACAGTCTAGAGAGAGGGGAAGTTAGATAGACATAGAGAGGGGACATTGGGGTACGCGCTCCGCTCTTTACTGCTAACATTTATTATTCAACTGTCAACTGTGTGATTATATTTAAATTGTATTCATTTTTGTTCATATTTTCTTGTTTTTTGTTTCTTCCATTAATACGATTTACATAGAATTTAAAGTTATATTTCTTACACATGTTTTGTGTGGTATTGGCCGTAAATTGTTGTTGTTTTATCCTTTCTATTCAATAATTACGTAATATATAGTTTATTAAATATGTGTATAATCGTTATATTATGACATGTTACTTGCACTGTGTGAGTGTTTTGGGCATACTCTTTAAAACTGCTCTGTTCTGGCTTTCAATATCCCTTACAAATGGGTGAAGTCGAGATATCGAAATCTTGAACAGCTCCGTTTACTTATTATCTCATGCAAAATACAAACTTACATTTAACTTGTTGTCAAACTTTACGCTCAATTTATAGAACCTAATCAAGTGTGTTCCGGGCTAGAATGTTTCAGTTTATCAGAGGCTATACCTATATATTTATATAGTGAACTAGGGTAGTTTCGATTTGATAATTTGGTGGGTCTATGAGGTTCCCTAGCAGTGAAGTTTTAGTAGTGAAAAAGTTCTATATTTGAGCTTTAAATAGATTGTGAAACATTCCAACCTTGTTCGGGAACTTATAAATCATAGTTACAATATTTATTTATATATTTGTAACTATTAACAGCCTTGATACTGTTGCTAAAGACATGGAAGCTGTATGAAATTGTTATAGATTTTTGTTTGAGTCGATATAATATATCGTTAAACTTCTTATATAACTAGGTTATGTTGTTCCGTTTGAGCTGGAAGGTTTATTATTATATTATTATTATTGTTATTATTTATCATTTATCATTTGTTCGTGTTGAATACAGGTTTTGCATGCATGCAGATGAAACAGTGTTAAAAAACGTATGAATTTATGCTTTCACAATGGAGGGCAAAAGTTGTGGTTTAGCGAATACTTTAGGGAAACAAATACATTTTGGGAATACAATCATATATAATGATATATATATGTATATTTAGCTATGGCAGTAGCAAAAAGAAATCAGAAAAAATAACTGAGAATACTGCAAGAGTGTTGCAAGTGTGTATGTGTGCATGTGTGTGTGAGTGCTTTTGGGTGTGTTGCGGGCGCACATACACAATCTAGAATTACATATCGGCTACATATCTATGCATACAACTATATATATGTATATATATTTCGTGTTTTTTGCAACCAGAGAGAGACACATTCAATACACAATACATATAGAAACGCTTTAGACCTACACACATATATGTATAGCTTATATAACAGTTATAGCTAGATTTAGGTTGGAGCAGCCGGCAGCAACAGCAGCAGCAGCTATTCCTCCCGCAGGGCAGCGCATTGCTGTGGACGCCACTTCTAGCTCCAGAAGTCCATCATATTAACCAGCTTGCACTTCTTGAGCTCCAGCTTGGTGGGCCGCGCCCGAAGTCAAGCACGCCCAAAGATTGCCCGGTCCGAGACATCGCCGGTCGACTGTGAATGTGCCATGGCCACATTTGTGGCGCCGGCGCCTCCCGTCTGCCCGCCAACGCCAACGATATGGTTATGATGATGATGATGATGCGTGGCCGTGGCAATGGTCGCCGTGGAAGCATTGTGATGCGTCACATTGTGGTGGTTGTGCGCCAGTGTGGTGCTGCCGTATTTGCTGCTGCTGCCGATGCTGTTGTTGGTGGCATTGCCGCCTGTGTTGCCATTCAGATGCTTCCTGGTGGCTGCCGAGGAAACGTGATGGGTACTGCCGCTGCCAACGCCGCCATAGATGCGATGCAGCGAATACTGCTGCACCGACTCCAGATCGGAGACGCTTGACGTGATCTTCGAACGCACTGCGACCTTCTGCATGCTGTTGTATTTGTCGCTGGCGCTGAGCTTGATGTCGGGCAGGTGTCCGTTCGACTGGGCGTGAGCGTGGGCATGGGCATGAGGCTGGCGTGAACTGCTTGACTTGGTCGTTATGGCCGCATTGCTGACGGCTGTGGTGCTCGTGATAGATGCAACAACTGGCCCGTTGCCGGGCGAGATCTCTGCAAAATTGTAGCAGGAGGACTTCTGGGAGACGCTGTTCAGACCCGAGCTCGATGAGCTTGTAGACATGCGGCAGCTGCGATGGCGACTCGATGCGGATGGCTGCAGGAACTCATGATGGGCCGCCTCATCGGGCGTCATGCGCTCCGCAGGATCCCATTCCAGGCAGCGCTGCAGAAAGTCTATGAAATAGCGATCCTGGCAGTGAAGAATCTGTGACAGGGATTTGCTGCCAGGCGAACGCTTCCGGCCCTTCGTATTGGTTATGCAGCGCGGCGCATCACGCGAATCGAAGAACAGACGACGGCGACGCGCCACCGAAATGAGCACCTTGGGGGGCAGACCCAGCACCTCCATAATACAGGCCAGTTGCTCTACCTCGTTCTCGCCGGGGAATAGTGGAAAGCCCGTGTACAGCTCGGCCAAAATGCAGCCTGCAATGAAAAATAGAGAAATCGCACCGAAATTAGTATTGATTAAATACCCTGCAGTAATTGCAAATGGGGTATATTGCAGCTGTACAAAGATTTCGATGAGTATAGAAATTCCCAGCATTTCATGTAGGACATGTCGATTATTTTCAAAGAGATCAGGCAGCTGGGTACAGGGTAACTCCTAGTCGCACAACCTGCAGCATTTTTATTTAGTATTATTTAAGTCCCTATCATTTGGCTGCAGTCATTTTGACTGTCAGAAGAAGCGCATTGACCTTGACTGTGGACCTTGCCCTGGACACGTGCTTGAGCTTGACCAAAGGACACATTTCAGTGCAGTTCAGTTGAACCGCTGGGACATTATTTATTTGCTGCTGTAAATTGCTTAAGTGCTTTTGGTTTTGGGGTTGAAAAGTTCAGTGCAATACTGATTCATACTGACTTCCAATGGACTGCGAAATGCGATTCTAAACTTGATTTAAGATATGCCTTCTATACGGCCCATGGACATTCAACAATATCTAAATTAAATTTATGGACTAGGTCATTTTTTAAGTTATTTCTATTGGTATTTGAACCTATAACCCCGCTTACTACCCTTCGTATTATTCAAGCATGAGTTGTTGACTGATTTATAAAATATTTGGTTCATACTTGTGTTTATATTCAATTCCTATTCTCTAATTATTTTCAGAAAATTTGTATCCTTTAGTAGTATTATTACTCTGACTTGAGTACAGCGAGGATCCTGGTTCGATTTAAAATGACGCTTTGTATTAAAGAAGCAGATAAGAGGATTCGCACATTGATGTATGTATGTAATATATTTTCATATCCTATTTGAAGCCTTTATTAATTATATAAAATCATATCCTTATTTGCAGAAATCATCCATGTGGAACACTGTACTATAAAATGTACCCCATTACAACTGAAGGAGGAGAGTCCCGAATTTGGTTGACAAACCATTGTATGTTACTTCCACATCCAATTTTATATATTAATATTAGCAATTTTCCTTATTTATTTTTTTTTTTTTATAATTTTAAGATTATTGGTAAGAAGAATTTCGGACACATGTATTGATTTTAAGTTAGCGATCTGAGCTTTTACTTTTACTTTGGCTATTTTTGTCCACCCTGTCTTCTGTCATATCATCAATAAGCGGAAGAGTATGTCCGTCAGACAAAATTGTATAGCTTAACAATTCATATGACCTCTTTCACAAGTTCTAATTAATTCTTACACACTCTTTGGTATACCCATTACTTCCATATCAGTTGAGAACTGAGTGCACTACGATTGCCAGGCCTCATTATCCTTTACGGTATTTCGCAGCCAAATGGCAACGTTCAATCGCTGCACACGAATTTCGTGACGCCCTCTCCTGCGCCCCAGTCAAAACAGCAGCCCAACCAAGTGTAAAAACACGCACTATGCCAATTAGCAGCAACAGGCTACACATGCGGCAAGGGCCCTGAAAACCAAGCCCCTCACGTATAGCTAGAACAATGGGATAGCCTGTGAAATATTCTATGAGGCAAAAGGGGAGCAGTAGGCGGGCCGATGGGCACTCAACAAGTGAGGCCCACTTGAAGTTTATGTATACAATAATATTGCCTGCCCCTTAACGCTTAGAAACGTTGCTTCCTGTAGCAGCCTTCACCCCGCCACACACATCCTTTTAGCGGCCATTTCCGACTACGACCACGTCCGGTCAAAAGGAAAAATATATGTGAGCTCTGCGCTCCACACAAAAGACTCATTAAACGTGCACAGTACGTGAGTTATTGGCGATGTGTGTGTGGGTGGTTTAATAAAAGATAGCTAGGGTTTATTTTTAGCTAGTGTCTTGACTTCTTTACGACTGCCAGCTCATGTGGGCGCTTACTTATTTGAGCTACTGTGCGCACAACCAAATGGGTTACGTGTCGAATAATGTAAAATTCTTCACAGCGAAAGGGGCGAATCTTCACTTTTTGTTTACTTTATATTTGAGTGAGGAATAAGAGTATAATGAAAGTAGATAAGGAGAAAAAAGTCCTTATAGACCTTATCTAGTCGATTTTGAAATTGCAATCAAAAAGTCAGATGCCCTTTAAACAGTCTGTATCCTTGGGGATTCTGCCAAATCCCTACTTGAAAACATGACCAACCTATGGCCATTTCTCTTAAAAGGACCCTAACCACTGAATCGTCCATATCTTGGTTATTTCAAGGACAATCTTAATAGTCGTTGGCCAAAAAATAGTCCACATCTTTCCGATTCAGACTGTGCAAAGGACGAAAGTCCAAAAGACATTTGTCTTGTAGCTCAGGTCAAAACTCGGCCATAATAAGTTTTATAGACAAATTTGCTAACACAAAATAGCCTACATCAAAGGGCATCACGATCGTCTAAGTATCTTAGCTAATTTTCAATAATACCAGAATATGAAATTTTACCAAGTCCATGATGCTTAGATGACCCCCTAGTTTTTTGATGCAGATCGATGCAGCGAGCCTATACGAACCCAACGCACCAATTCTTTTGAAAATACGCAAGGACATTGCCGAGTTATATCCTATTTTCTTTTCTTATAATGCCCTTATATCGTTTTTGATTTGTATTGTTTAAATGTGTATTTATCTTTACAGAGTGACATTGTAAGGACAGGAATCGATTCTAATTACTTCCAAGGATTTTTTTTCCAGTATCTGACGATATATATATACTCCAGATATATTTATTTAAGACTTAAAAAGACAGAACGTCTTTATTATTTTTAATTTTAAGCAAATTAAACAATAAACAGAAATATTAAAAATGTAAGCAAAAAAAAATAAACGATTAAAAAACTGAACAATTTTCTGTATTTTTTAATTCCAAGGGTAATTTTGTTGAAAAATTAAAAGAAAATCATCGAGGGAAAAATTCTATTGCATACCCACACAGGGCTTCTGTTGCCAGTCGCTGGCTGTAGATATTTCTTATCAAATTTAGATAAAATACCAGGCGAACAGAAATGCCCAGAAAGCCGACAAAAAATTTCAGCGGATACAAATTTCATTGTATACCCGAAAGGAACGCCGACGTCGGCGGCTGGGTGACGGTACTAAAATTCGACTGAAATACCAGGCGAACAGAAATGCTCAGAAAGTCGACGAATATTTTTGAATATAAAATATCGTTACATACCCAAAAGGGCAGAAATGTTACTCATTTAATGAGTGCTGTAAGGACGGCTGGTAAGTAACAGCTGTAAAATGAGTACTTTCAAGACGGCTGTTAATTAGCAGGGCATGTAAAATAAGCGCTACTTAAGAGGCTGTTTAGCAACATTTCATGTAAATGGGGTACTGAAAAGACGGCTGCAGCCGTAACTCTTGTACAATGGCAAGCATATACACATGCTTGGACCACTGAGCAATAAGCAAAAACAAAACTCCATTAGAGCGCGGTGCATATGTATATACGTATGTAGATCTGTATGTATATATGTATGTAGATAACGGAAATCGGCAAATAAGTGCATAGGTATGTATGTGTATTGCGTACACGACTTTTGCTGTCGTTTATCGCCCCACACAAGACCTGCTCTATTTTTCTGTTCGTTTTATTGGTTTGCTTTGCTCTGCTCGTGAGTTAATGTTGACAACAGTAGACAATTTGACATGCTGCAAAAAAAAAACTATACATATTCAAGCAGGCAAAATTGGCAATCGTAGAGATATTGGGCTTTTAAATACAAATTGCTAAATGAGCAGAATTTGGATTAGAATTTAGAATAATTGGGATTCTTTTTAAAGTATATTTAAATAATATTTTATGTATTGATTTGTATCAAGTTTTACTGAACACACTTAAAAGAATTTTTAATTGGCAATTGGCTAATTTGATGGATTTTCCAGACAGTTTGTTCATAATTAAAAAAAAAATTACTATTTGTATTTGTTTTTTCATTGGTTTCAACGGGTTTTTATCAGTTTTATTATACTGATAAAAATTCTTTCTAATCGTACTAGTTTATTCGTTTAAAAATTTGCCGTATAGTACTTAGAGTTTCAACCGTAAATATTTTTGTTGGCTTTGAGAACGAAAAAATGTTATTGAATATTTAGGTTTTCTTCTCAGGTTAAAAAAGTACGAGCTTTGTTTTGTTTATATAAGAATAAGATATTAAGAGCTCTGGTTGATTATTTTTTCAAACAATTGTGCTAGGTAAACACGAGCAGTAAATACTTGATTTGTGTGAGTGAACGTTTTTTCTAAAACCATTCACACGAAAATAATGGATTTGTTGTTATCCATATTTTTGCTTACAAAACTGTGGTTACAGTCGTTGGGTTTGTCGGATTTAAAAAAAGAAAAGTTGAATTGAAAACGAACAGAACTACAAGGCCTGTCGAAGCAATGTTATTGTTTTTGATTTGTATACATCGACATTTTTGGAGCGACAACGGTCAATGATGTACAACAAATGGTAAAGCCAGCCATTCAAAAGCCGCATAAAACCCATTCAAGGCTCGCTTTACACACGGCAAATGTGAGTCGCATGACCCACTAAAAAGGGGACTAACTCCCCCGCTTTTAAATGCACTCGCAGCACAAATGGCGGCCACATGCTGTGTGGCTATAAAACGGTGTATCAAATATTTACAGCTACACACAACCGCATTTACAGGTATTTATAGGTCTGTGTGGCTATAAATTTGCCTGCCAAATGCAGAACGAAAACCATTTAAAAATTCATTTTCAGTGCAACGAGGCCAAATGCACGTAGAGAAGACATATTGCAAATGTGTTTTAATTAAAATCAAATCCCCACCGACGCCCCATACATATACATATATACATATACATATATACTCACCCAAGCTCCACATGTCAATGGCGGTGCCATATTGCAGACCCAGTATCACCTCCGGGGAGCGATAGAATCTCGATTGTATATAGGTATAGATTTTGCGATCCACATAGCACGAGCTGCCAAAATCGATGACTTTTATTGAGCTGCTGCCGCGTTGTTTCAGCAAAATGTTTTCCTAGTTTTTCAAAAATGGAAAATTACATTCAATAACTTCATAAGATTGTTTGTATACAAATGATGTTCAACTTACCGGCTTGAGATCACAGTGTATGATATTCTCCTTGTAGAGCAAACGCAGGCATTTCACAATCGAATTGCAGAAGCGTCGTATGAGACTCATGCTGAAACCATTATAGTTATTCTTCTTGATCAGCTCGTACAGATTGAGACTGCAATTAGAAAGAGAGAGAGAGAAAGAGAGAGAGAGAAAAACTTCGATTAAAACAACAGTTTATACAAAATATGACTCAGCGCAAGCCCCAATCAATTCTTTTCGGTCTCCAGTAAAAAAGACGCCTCACAAATGCCGGCCGCTTAAAGCCCACATAACGATAAAAAATAACATGCATTGAATTAATTTGCATTGCATGTCGCACACAAATTTGGATATATGACGATAACGGGCAACAACAAGCACAACGACAACAATTTGGACTGTGGGGCAAATAATGTCAAAATAGGGGAAAATATAATGCCTAACAAAACAACAAATTTAAACATAATGCCAATACAGGTCAAGAAGTATATTCCCGTTCTAAATATGATAAACTTATTCTTAAAAATAGTTGTCAACTATTTCCCATAGAAAAGTAATATATAATCTAAAGTCACAGTTGGAAAGTCGCGGAGATATTTAAATGTAAAGCTATTTATATAAAATATTTTTAGGTTTTTAAAAAACGCTTAAGATTCGTATACCGAATTTAAATTTATAAGGAAATGCTTTAAAAGCAATTATTTTCCATAGAAAATTAAAATATTCAAAACTCACAGTTGGAAAGTCAAAATTTAAATGCAAAATTTAAATGTAAATTAACTTATATATTTATTATTAGTATTTATTTTTGTCCAAGATTCCTAGTAACAACTTTTGATTGAAATAAAATAAATCTAA